AAAAGCGTGCCAACAGAAGCGCGCTGTAAAGTAACCCTAAACCTAACCCTAACCCTAACCCTAACCCTAAACCTAACCGTAAATCTTACCTTAAATTAAATCGCGCTTCTGTCGGCGCGCTGTTGTCGGCGCGCTTTTGACATCACGGTTTTAGTGCCGCGGTGTTGTCGGCGCGCTTATGACGTTCGCGCTTTTGTCGGGTCACGGAGACAGACAAGATCCCACCTTTCACAGCTCTGCCCCGCCACCCCATAACCTCCCATCTCATGGGGCTGGGGGTCAATGACTATTTCAATGAAATAGTGGAATCAAATCGTTAAAGAAAGGATGCCAAAGGAGACACAAAATAACATGTGAATAACAACAATTAAAATATTTAATTTAATAATTACATTAAATTGAATTGTTGAATTAGCCCACAGCAAGTTGTTCCATGGTTGACTATGGTGAGTCATCCTATCCGCACATTGGGAGGGGCGGAGGAGAATAGCCAAAGTCCATGGACAACATTTGGACTAAGGCAGAGATGGGTTGCTACTGGGTCGCATTGGTTCGGGTGAAGCCGTAGTGGAAATTGGGACGGAGTTGCCAAACTGGTAGGGACGGCAGGCTGGCCACGCCCCTGAACCAGTTGCCCAGTCGCCCATGCCGTTGCCAGCATGTTTTTTAGTCATTTTATAATGTTCTGCATGTGCGCAGAACAATTTACAGGAAACTGCGCATGTGCAAACAACGTGTGGTGCGTGAACAATGGAAGCGAACCGGCAGTAGCGCCAGCAGCAACCCACCCCTGGACTAAAGCCTTCCAGTGGACGGGCTCTGAGGCTGAGCTAGTGTTTCCCCACTCCTCCTTAGCTTCATATTCTTGCATAGTGAAGTGTGAACCTGCCACCCACAACTGCCCTCGCTCAGCGCAGGAGTCCAAATTCAAGAATCCCCAATCGACGGTTCTCTCTAGTGGGACCCATACAAAGAAGGGGAGTCCACATCAACCCACCATCAAACCTCCCACCATTAGGAAGCTGTTTTTCCCCTAAAGTGTGATCAGAATTTTGCTTTTTGAGATTCATTTCTAACAGGATTTAGCCCCGAGTGGGTCACAGAAACCGTCCTCCTTCTGTAGGATGACAATTGCCAGAAGAGAAGGAGGGATCCTGCGGCTTTTGGAGCTTTCAAGAGCCAAGGGTTCCGTTGACCAGGCTACTAAGCTCAGAGCAGGCAGAAGGGTTTGCGGGAGTCCCATTCTGGGATGGCTGATTTAGAGAGGATGCTGGAGGATTTGTGGTTTGAGTTTCACAGGATTCCACCTTGTTTCCTACCCTGTTCCATATCTCCACAAACACCCTGGTCCTCTGTGGATTGAGAGGAGGGTCCTCAATATGCTGCTAACCTTCAGCTCAGATGTTTAGCATAGCTCCAAGAGAGGCTGGCACGATGGCAGAGTAGACGAGAACGAAGGAACTGATCGTTCGAATACAATAAAGTTACTTTGGCAGCTGGTTTGTGCCCAGGGCAATATTCTCTGGAGCAACTAACTGCCCGGATAGCACCTCCTTCCTCTAGAGGTCAAACTGCATGTATTTCTCTTCTTCTCTCCACAGAAATGGGTGGGCACTCCTTGCTCTAGAACCACCCTCGATGCCTTTGAGTGGGGCATAGTTGTCTCAGAGTTGTTTGCCATTGGACCCAAGCGCCTCCTCCTGAGCTGTGCCGAGGGAGACCGGAATGATGGCCGGAATGGGCAGCCTCCAGTGTCCGCTCCGCTCCTACCAGAACACTTGCAGGCCTTTGCCAAGGGTTGCAATGCCACCTGGGAGCAGGGCTATGGCCACCTCTCCATTGGCACCGTCATGGTGGCGGAGGATTTTGCAACCCATTGCTCCCAGTGCAGCAGCGCCCACCCGTGCTGGGCCCTGGAGGAGGAGCTGCAGGAGCAGATGGAAACCAGCGAGAAGGATGCCTATCGCGGCCTGCAGTTCGACAGCAGCAGCAGCAGCCTTGGTCTGGGCTCCGGCTGTTTGCTACTGGGGAACGAGACGCCCCTGCAGGACTCCTTTCCCTCTGGGCCAGCCTCCTGGACAAGCCACCCCCTCTTTGGCTCTCCCCCAGGGGCCCCGGGGGAATTCTTTGGTCTTCTGCCTGCCCCCTTGCTCCTTGGCCCCTGCCTCTCTGCCCCAGCCCCCGAGGAAGGCCTCTCCTGCCAGAGGCCGCCCTCTCCCGACTGGGAGGGGGAAAGCGACCCCGTCAACAGCCTGGATCTGGACACCATGGACAGTGGCTTCGCAGACTGTGAGTGCAGGAGCCCTGGCGATGGGGAGCTGGCAGAAATGCCCTCAGGTTGCAGTTGCCACTCTGAGCCCAGCCCTGTTGTGGGGGAACCTGAAAAAGAAGAGTTTCTCCTGCCAAGATACGTCAAGCAGTGGATTTAGTCCCATGGCACTGGGCAGGGGTTGAGGGGAGTGGCTCAGTTCAAGAGGATCCCACACACCTCTGCCAGCCCCTGCAGGATTTTTCTGCCCTAGAGGCTGGTGATGATGCCTCCCCTCCTTTGCCCCAAGCTTTCCTTTTGGGAAGACGTGGCGCTCTCCAGGCAATGTGGGAACGGAGGGCTTGGGGCATCAAAGGCAAATGGGAGGGTGAGTGGAGCTAAGCTCCAAGGATCCCAGCCTGCACCCGGGGCTGAACTGGGCCAGTCCTGCCTTGGTTCCTCTTCCCACCTTTAGGCCAAGCTGCAGTCAGGGTGGCCTTTTGCTTCTGCCAAATTTTTAGTCGATAGAGATGTTTAAAGAGGAAGACTGACCTACAAGGATTAGGGATCCCTCCCCGTGTGAATGTCTTGGATTGAGGCTTGTGCTGTGGGCTCCAGATTCCCTTCCTGCCCAGACTGAAACTCTCTCAGACTACTCAGATGGACATCAACCGTCCACTGACTACAAATAAAAGCTTCAGGAATTTTTGTCCTTGGTCCCTGGTGGTCTTCAGCCTCACAGAAGTGATCTGTTTAGCCAAAGGCTGGGGTGGGGGGAGGTCGCAATGCATTGCGCGATTGTCATTTGGCCACGCCATTGTAACACACACACCTCTGTCTTTGTCATGCAAAGATTTGGTCATTTAGTGTCACATGCTGGGATGCATCATTCAACAAGAACATCTCGGGTTCTTTTAAAGTAAAAGGCCGTGTTCTTCTCAACTCAGCAGAATGTTAGGAAGGAAGGACATGAAAGGCTTTGGACCACCCTGAGGATACTAGATTGAAGGTGACCAAGGTTGGTGGGGAGGCAAAGGACAGCTGAGTTTGCAAATGGGCAGATCAAACCAAGGGCTGAAGAAGAGATGATCCAGAAACACACAAACGGACACACCTCATCTCAATGGAGCCCAGTAGCCAGTCCTTAGACTAGACAACTAATCTAAGAATTCCTGCAACCGTTCTTCATGTTTTACCCTCCTCTAACCATCTTTGTTGCTCTTCTCTGTCCTCTTTCCAGAATCTAAACATCTTTTTATATGAATGATGCAGGATGAAAGAGCAGCAGGAAAACTGAGTCTTGCTGTGACTCAGTTAAGTTCTGAGTTCTTCGCTGCTACATGCAAAAATTATTTTCTATGCTTCCTTTTTTTATCTGATTACCGTACTTCCTTTTTTAAAAAAAATGCAATGATCTCACCTAGATAAACATCCTGTAACAGTGTGAGAAAGATAAACTGCCTTATCTTTATTCAGTTTGCCCGCTGCACACTGGAGGCCGTCAACAATTCTTGGTACATAACAAACATAGCTTGTAAGGAAAAAAGTCAGTTTCTTCCTAAGTGATCAGGAAACCAGTGATATTTGGACATTTCTCTGCCGGGGCAGATTCTTATATCTGGTGCCATCCAATACCATCTTGATACCTCATTCCAATTTTGTATTCCAGCCCCCAAACTCTTCCCCAGCACCTGATCACTGCTCCTTCAGCTGCTGCTGCTAAATGTTAAGCTGCCCTGTGATAAGGCCACCCTCACCTGTGACTTGATCACGGTTTAGTAGTGTTGTCCTGTGCCTGCTCCATTTTTTTCTCCCTCCCTCACCCTGCCCAGAGAGGCCACCTAAACATGCACTCCCTTCCCCAGCTGCTTTGCTCCACAGTGCAGCTCCTCTAAAATGTGCTAACTGTAAGTTAACAAGCTCAGCTCTGTGGCCTTCCTTTAATTCGAACCCAGGGCCGCTGCTGCCTGACACTGAGAAGGCCCTAATCATCAGTTTCACATTTGAAACTTTTGCCTGCTTCCTAAGTGACTTGCTAGGCAAAGAGCAGGTGCTTGTTTTCACTGTCAGGAATTTTCTCCTTAGTTCTAGGTGACTTCTCTCTTTGGTTCCTTCTTGTCCTGTCCTCAAGTGCTTTGGGGAACAGGTCGACCTCCAGTTCTTTGTGGCAGCCCCTCAAATGTTGGGAGATTGTCACCAAATGTTGGGAGATTTTCAAACACACACACCGGTCCTTCATCAGACTAGACATTCCCGGTTCCTTCAACGGTTTGTTATAAAGTTTAGCCTCCTGCCCCCAAATCATCTTGGTTGCTCTTTTCTGCAATCTTTCCAGAGTCTTTGCATCTTTTTTATATTGTGGTGACCAAAAATGGATGCAGTAGTCCAAGTGTGTTTTGTATTGCCCATTGTACAGGTAGTCCTCAGCATATATCCACAACTGAGCCAAAAGGTTTTGTTGCTAAGTAAGACAGTTAAGTGAATTTTGTCACAAAATTTGATGACTTTTCTTGCCACAGTTGTCAAGTGAATCACTGCAGGGTTTTTTTTTTTTAATTGAACAAAAACACAAAAAAAGAATCATCCTTCATTACATCTTGTAGAAAGC